GTGAATAGAATAAAAGGATTAATCAGCATGTTGTACATGGTTGAAGCTAACATTTCAAAGTAAAGCCATTTACAATTTTCTTAGATTAAAAAGTAATACCTCTGTATTCCTTCCAACTCTCTTTGTCATGATCAAGAGGTCTACCAAAGATATATGTGTCTGATGCCAGTGTGAATACATCCTTATGGAAGTCCAAAATTAGTTATGAATATGGAGCTCTAAATGTGAGTATTCTGTGCACACAAACTAAGAAAGATATCCTACCCTTAAAGTACAGTTTTGTTGTGGGATACTTACCTATTATTTTGCCTTTTTGAGAGGATGAGGTACAAATTTCACTTGTTGAGAATCAGGATGAGGTAGCAGCCTTCTGTGGCTGTATTATGAAGTTGCAATGTAAGTGGAAGCAGGAACACCTGGCCCAGATACATTTACTGTGATGCATTATGACTCAATTTAATTGAAAACCATCACCAGATATGGTTATTAGATAAAATTATGAAGTGATTTGCCATAATGATGGGACTTAAACACATTGCATGTAATTTTAATGATATGGGCATTTAAGATTACCACTATATTACATCATGTAGTCTATAATTAAAATGTTAAAACTATTTTCCAAAATAAACCAAGATAAATCTGAGGTCTGGGATTTTAAAATTAGAGAAAGCAAATGAGCTTAAGTTTTACTAACAGCGTATTGTAACATAAAATGATCAATTACATCTAGAGAAGGCTATGGAGTGCACATTATTAAAGAATAAATTTCTTTGGGAAGCAGAATGTGAAGCAGATATTTTGAATTAGAGCCGAAGCTTCCCTATAGCTACAAACTCTGTGAGACTTTGAGATGTTTTTCAATATTTTTTGAGTACTTTTAGATCTGTGTGATATAAGCCCCACATATTTCTCAAGTGCCTGCTCTCTGTGGCAATACAACTTCATGGTTGATTTTGCACAAGGTTTTTAGTTTTGTTGCCATCTGTAGATTTATGAAAAGAGACAAAATGGTGCTTCAATATATATTATGCAATATCATTGATTTGGGAAACTTAGCGTAAAAAAAAAATAGAAGCATTCTTGAAGGAAATTTTCAAACAAATTGAAGGCTGTTGGTGTCACTCAGAAAAAAGAATTTTAGGGTACCAAATTTCTATCTGATACTTTAAAGTAAAAATGTATAAAGATTTCTGTTAAAAGGGAAATGTGTTAAATTAGTCTTTCTGAAAAATTAATATTTTTTCAATAGGGAATAGAAGTGAACAAAGGATTGTTATTCTGATAATTTCTATCAGCATTCTAAATATTTTTCATTATGTTTGTCATTCCTTTGGGAACCTTGTCTTGATTTCTATAGATCAGAAATGTATCACTACATGTTTAATGAAGAATCTTTTCCAAGGAAATATATATGTAAAAATACTCTTGAAATATTTTCTTATTCCAAAGATGTTACTTATATAATTTGAGAATTCCATGGGAGAAAAAAACTAAACTCACTCTAATGATGATCTCTGGTATCTGCATTTTCATTATGATTTTGGATAATCTTTTTATGTTACACCCATTATACTAAATTTTTACTTGAAAATAAAAATATGTTTGCTTTTTATAGTTGCAGCATTTTAAATTCATTTGCTCAAAATTTACTGTTAACATGCCTGTCAATATTCCATACATATTAAGAAATAAAGAGATGCATCTGGCACAGTTCCTGTCCTCAAATGACTGTGAGGATGATATTGGCCAGCACAATGACTGAGTGGCTAAATCTTTGTCTTGCATACCTGGGATCACATATGGGTGCCAGTTCATATCCTGGCTGTTGCACTTCCCAGCCAGCTCCCTGCTTGTGACCTGGGAGAGCAGTAAAGGATGGCACAAATCTTTGGGACCCTGCATCTGCATGGGAGACCTGGAAGAAGCTTCTGGCTCCTAGCTGCAGATTGGCTCAGCTTCAGAAGTTGGAGTTACTTGGGAGTGAACCAGAGGTTGGAAAATCTTTCCCTCTGTATCTCCTTCTTTCTTCGAAAATTTGCCTTTCCAATACAAATAAGTAAATCTTTTTTTTTTTTTAATCTATGGATAGAGACTGAGAACACAAATTGTTAAGTCCTAAAAGAAAGTGAGGTAATGTAAGAATATGAAAGAAACCCAAATAATACCTAAATCTGACTTGGAAATTGAGGAAAAGTTAAGTAGATAATTTCTCAGCCAAGGTTTAATAATGCAACAGAAGTTTATAGTGAAAAACAGGGCTTGCCAGATGAAACAACATTGAAGAATCAAGAGACAGGGAAGTGTGAGAGCCTACTAGAATGATGCAGAATAGGTGCTTGGTAACAGCCTTGTATAATCTTTTAATTATTTTTTATGTTATGGAAAATAAGGCTTGCCATTTGCTCATTTGTTTATTCTTTAGTTCGTGACTTCTTTTGTTTACAATCATATCAAGGTATCAGACAGCCAATTCTTCACATTAATTCAGTAAATAACTGTCAAATAAGCACATCAACCAATGGAAGAAATCAATGTCATTTTCTTACCATTTTAACAAAATCTATGTGTGTTCCTATTGGTTCCACTTTCCAGCTATTCTAAATGAGACATAAAAAGCCATTTGATTTCTTATTTCCCTAAATGTTCAGTTCTTCAATGTCATAATATTTAAAAAATAATATTTTGTCTACTTTTTGTTAGTGGTAAAAGTAATGGGAATGATTCGGAGTTTTACTGTGAATGAATTTTTCATATTAAGTCATTTTAAAAAGATTTTTTTATTTTTAAAGCAGAGTTACAGAGTGATCTGGAGGAGAAAAAGTGTGAGGGAAAGAGAAAGAGAGAGATCTTCTATCTGCTGGTTCACTCTCCAATAATAGCAACTGCCAGAGCTAAATCAGGCTGAAGTTAGGAGCAAGGCACTTTATTCAGTTCTTCATATGTGTGTAGGAGCCCTAGGCACATTAAGAAAAGACAGATCAGAAGTGGAGTCTGGGTCTTGAACTAATGCCTGAATCGGATGCCAGCATTATGGGTGCTACGTAATCCATTATGCCACAACAGAGGCACCAGTTTTTGTTGTGGTTATTGCTTGTTTATTTTCACTATTTGTATATGCTTTCACAACATCAGAAATTCATTTTCAACTCTATTTGGGAGGCAGAAACATCATCATTCTATTACTGTACACATTCTGATTTTTTTAATTGCATAAAAAGTTTTTAGAAGAGTATTATTCTATTTTACTCTGTCTTCTATTCATCTCTTAATCTCTTCATATACATGATATTAATCTACTTCTCTTAGTCTTACATACATGCAAATAAAATTCTAACACTGAGGGTATTTGCAGAGAAATTACGTACTGAACTATCACTGAGCACAATAGAAGTAATAAGTATGACCTCATTTATTGGCACAAAATATCTAATTGAATTTCATCTTCTGTATTTTCATTAAGAGACATTGTGAATAACTTAATTGCTTCAGATTTACTTAATATTTAGTGATAACATATTTTTCTTTCTTCCAATGTATTTTTGAAATCCCTTCAGTTCATTGTCTGAAATATATCAGCAATTCCTCAATGGCCATTTTATCATACATTTGATATCTTTTGTGATTTTTAAGAAACCAAGATCCTTAGAATAATAAATGTATAATCAATAAATACATTAGAAAATTTTATTCAAATTGAATTTATATTAGAATATCGTGCAATACAATCTTACTACTCTTACAATGCAGCTCTCTCATTTGTTATCAAATCATAACTTCAGAAATTCTTAAGTTAGCAGTGATTTCTTGTGACATTTCCTTTCTTCAGCTTGCTATTAATCCCTTCTCACATCAAGCTTGACATTGACATTGTTTGAGATGATGGACTTGCTGTGATTACTTGCTGAAACTTCTGAATTAGAAATAATAACAACCTGCAAAGAAAGAGAGAACATCTTTCATCTAAAGATAAAGATGCATCTAAAACTTTCTGAATGTCTTCAACTTTTCAGAGAGGAATATTATGTTTAAAACACGAGTTAATTGACTCACCTCATAATGAAAGAATTTGTGAACAAAATCACCCACCTTTAATTTTAAAAAAAGATTTATTAATTTTTATTGGAAAAGAAGATATACACAGAGAGAAAGAGACGCACAAAGACCTTCTGTCCCCAAGCAGCTGCAGTGGCTGGAGCTGAGCTGATCCGAAGTGGGGAGCAAGGAGCTTCTTTCAGATTTGTGTTTCCCACATGAGTGTAGGGTACCAAAGCCTTAAGCCAACCCTTACTATTTTCCAAAGCCATAAGTAGGGAGCTGGATGGGAAGTAAAGCAGCCAGGACACAAACTGGCACCCATATGGAATCCCAGCATGTACAAAGTGAGGGTTTTAGCCACTGAGACACCACGCTGGACTCCTACCAATCTACAATTTTATCACCATCCTGCTACCATCAGTTCAGTACTATTGCCCAATATAAATAAGTTAATCTTTATTATCAAACAAAAGGCACTCATTGACGTTTTCATTATTTAAGGGACCCTTTCCTACTTATTAGAGGCAATAAAATATATTTATTACTGTTTATTTAAAAAGCACATTGAAGCACAAATTGCTTATGTCAGAAATATAATCCATTGTAGCTGATTTTTCTTAATTGTCCTGTCCTGTACTGCTTTCCTGTACTGCTCAAACTCAATCAGGAATAGAATGGCCGAGAATCAAACTGGTGCCCACATAGGACACCATCTCCAAGGCAGAGGCTTAACTCAAGATTAACAATTGCTCTATTTGACAGGTTAACTGAGTGATATGCTACACATATATGAAAAACAACATACTGAAAATATTGTAGAAGTAAACACAGTAGTACTTCTAGAGAGAAAAACGTTAAATCATTTTAAACAAGGAATGAGAGTAAAATCATGTTATATGTGCTTCCTTTCTTGGGAACAGTTATGCTAAAACTGGAGATTGTAGTACCTGCTGGCTACTAACTCAAATTTGGAGCACTTCACAAATTTGTGTGTTATCCTTGACAGGGGCCATGCTGATCTTCTCTGTGTCTTTCCAATTTTAGTATATGTGCTGCCAAAAGCAAGCACTATTATTTATATTTTGATAGCTGAATTTCCTGACTCTGGACTCTGATTTTCCCATTGGAGGAATCTTGGATTCCTAAAAAGGATCTACCTAATGCAGAGACCTTGCTTTTTGTGCTTGTTAATTCAGATCCCTCACATACTAGATTTACATGTTTAAATCTTAGATGTTAATTTTATTTTAGCTTATTTCCTTTATACTATTTTGTGTTTTTGCTTTGTTTTTAGGTTTTAAATGTATTTTATTGCAAGTAAGTATTTTCTGATACATTAAGTATAACAGAATTACATCATTTAAACTACAGATGATTTTAGAACTTGTTTGTAAAATTCCACTCCATTAGACCAATGCCCAGGGTAGAAGAAAAATAATTATTCAATGGGATGCCAACCTAAAATATCAGTTTTGTTATTCTCATCTGTAATTTTTCAAAGAATACATGTAGCCCTGATTAAGACTGATTTTTTAAAATTTTTTATTCTCATTTTCAATTTTACAACTTTTTAGGTATATGGCTTTCTTCCTCTCCACTCCTCTCCCCCTTTTCCCTCCTCCCCAATATCCGTAGCATTTTACAGTAACACAGTCCTTTGTTGTAGTCTTAACTCCAGCATTTTTCTCTTTTATGTGGGTCATGACATTGTAGGTATAAGCAATGGTAGAAACACTAGTGTTTTATTGGCTAGGTGTATTTAGAAGTTTTATTGGGGGTCTACTTTTATTCAGGCATATAGATACATACTGTTGATTCCCGGAACTTCTTTGATTGATGGTACACTGGTCTCCTTTACATCCTTTGTTTGTGATGTGTATACTTAATTACCTTTATATCTGTTTTGTATTTTGGATAGAAGTTATCTTAAAGCAGAGCAAACATAGGGTACTGTTCTTTTGGGACTGACTCATTTCACTGAGCATAATGGTCTCCAGTTGGGTCTACTTGGTTGCAAATTGTAGAATTTTGTTCTTATTAATGTTTGAGTTTATGTCCTATTTTATGTCTACATTCTTATAGTTGAAATAGCATGCTTATGCATTTATTCTGTACACTTTTTTTGCATTTTATTATTACTATTACTATCATTTTATGATACAATTCCATAGGCTCCTGACATTTCCCTTACCCATCCCCAATTCCCTGACCCCGCACATAGTTCCTCTATATCATTACTAAAATATAGTTCTTCATACACAGTCATATGTCCATCACTGCGGGCATGGACAATGGCAGAGAGTCCAGAATTCTATTGTCAAGATATAATAAACAGTTTCATTGAGTTTCATTGTAAGTCCATCTTTTTCTGGAAGTAGAAATGCATACTACACTGCATCCACACATCTGGAGGTTAGTCTCCATTTCATAGCTATTGTACATCCCCTCAAATGAAAAGTCATAATACAAGATCAACAATAGAAAGAAAAATAGAAATTTACAATGCCATGAAGCTAAATAACATGTTACTAGATATGACAGTCTCCATTACACAGCTACTGTTCATCACCTTAAATGAAAGGCCGCAAAACAAAATCAACATCAGGGAGAAAAAAGAAATTAACAACACCATGAAGTTAAATAACATGCTACCAAATGACTAATGTGTAGATGAAGAAATGAAAATCAAGAACCTTGAAGAAAATGAAGCCATTGCATGATCTATGAGTCATTGAAAGACTTAATTAGAAGGAAGTGTTTTGAAGAGATGAAACTAACAGAAAACAACAAAACCCATGTGATATAGTTTCTGCTGATTTTTGTTGGTGAAGTGTCTCTTCTAGACAATAAATAGATGGGTTTTGTTTTTTAATCCAGTCTACTAATCTGTGCCATTTGATTGAGCTTAAGCAATTTACATTCGGAGTTTAATACATATGGACGGTACTTTGGTCCTGTCATTTTAGGAAATGGGTTGTTCATTGATTTAGTCTTCTGTTGTCACTTTACTGGAATGTTCTTCCTGTTTGTCTTTGGTTTTGCTAGGTGCTATTATTCCTCTTCTCTGTCAAGAGAACATCTTGAAGTATCATTTGTAGGGCAGGTTTGGAAGAGGCAAATTCTTTTAACTTTTCTTGACTGTGGAAGAATTTTATTTCATTTTCAAAGACAAAGCTTTGCTGGATATGTTATCCTAGGCCGACAATTTTTTTCTTTTAGAATCTGGAATATGTTGCTCCATTCTCTTCTTGCCTGTAGAGTATCCTGTGAGAGATCTCCTGTGAGTTTATTGGCAGTCCTTTATATGTCAATTGATTTTTTTCACATGCACATTTAAGGATCTTTTCCTTATGTTCAGTTGAAGAGAGCTTGATGGTCATGTGTCTTGGTGAAGATCATTTTTGATCAGGCCTGTTGGGAGATCCATGCCCTTCCTGGATGTTGTTTCCCAATTCTTTCTCCATTTAGGGAAATTTTCCTTGATTATTTCCTTAAATACATTTGCAAACTCAGTTTCTCTTTCTGCACCTTCTGGGACTCCCTTAACTCTTATATTTGGCCTCTTAAAAGTGTCTTAATTCTTGAATACTCTTTTTGGCCTGATCCAGCTCTGCTTCCAGCTTTTTGTTTGCTTCCGCCTGATGACAGGAAATATCTTCCAATCCTGAGATTCTTTCTTCTGCTTACTTCATTCTATTTTGGAGACTCTCCACTGTACTTTTAATTTGTTCTACTGTGTTCTTCATTTTGATATATCAGCCTTGATGTGCTTTATTGTCTCCTTAAATTCTTAACTCTTTCATGTGCTTCTCATTTTTGATCAGAAATTTTAAAATGAGTTTTGTGAATTCTGTGTGCCCCATTTTCTCCCTGTCTTTTTCAGTTAAGTCTGAATTTGGCATAGGGTTTTGCTCCTTTGCAGGGTAGTTTTCAGTAGTATTCATTGTGCGTTTGTCTCTTCTTTTGCTCGTGATCATTGTACTTCTGGTTAGCAGAGTCTTCTCCTGGGGCAGTTTTCTAAGCTGTGTTACCCACAGGTCCACAATGAAATTTTACTTATTGCAGTTGGTACACAACTTTTTGCTCATGGCCACTCGTGCCACAACTTCCAGAGTCCCAGGTCTGGGTTCTTATGTTAGATTTTCACCGTGGTCTCCACAGCCCCAGGTCCTGGCTCACCACTCTCCACCTCCTGTGATACTGTGCTGAGGCTGCACCCTTGGCTTTGTAACCTTTCTCTCACTTCTGGTTGGAGCATGTCCCAGGATTAGAGAGACACCAGGTGTCCTATATAGTTAGGTTGTTGGTGGCACTCTTCTTGGCAGAAGCTGTTGGACGTTAGATCTGGGTGCCACATGGACCTATTTTGACCCATACGATGCCACAATTGGTATTATTTTCCTGCAGGACCAGTGCAATCCATGGAACTCTGTCAGTTCTCGTGAGCTCAGCACATGTGCAGTTCACTATTGTCCCCTGAAGTCCTAAAGCTATTGCCACGGCGTACAAAATGGCACCTGACATACCATTACTAGAATTCTTGATCTGCTGGCCATCAGGTCTGAGGGCTACCCAGACCTGTCTTGGGTGGAACCTGTAGAATGCCACATTGTTGCTGTTCACTCAATCAGAAATGAGTTCACTCCCAGCTCAGCATATGCTCAGACCTTTCCCTTGCCCCTGCTTCCTAATGTGAAATGGCACCCTATTCAGCTCTAGGGGGCTGACCAGGCTGTGAAATTTCATCCCGTCTTGCAGTGTCCATCTGGGATCTGCTGCTCTGTCTCTGCTTTTGGTCAAATCAAACGGATGAGCAGGACAAGCATTTCTTTGTCTGGGTTTACCTCCCAAGCTCCCTGTGAAAGTTCCTTCCCACCTGGTTGCTGGTGGAGTTCTGGCTGCTTGTGAGGTTCATATCACTGTTAGCTGAAATCTGCTGAAGTATCAGTCACTGCAACACAACACTGTTGTGTTCACTTTTCCTGTGTCTGTCAGTCTCCAGGTACTCCTCTGCTGTTGTTCTGTCCTTTTCTATTTCCTGCAATATGTCCTCTCTGCTTCATCCTGATTAAATGTTTCTCTGTTTAAATGTGTCCTTACATTGTTCTGCCATCTTGATTCTCTGTACACATTTTTCAAGAATAATTTATTGTATTTGAAAGTCAGATCCAGAGAGAGAGAGAGAGTGAAGGAGAAGCACAGACAGATTTTCTGTCTGCTGGTTTACTCACCAGATGATTACAATCGTCAGAGCTGGCCCAGAACCTGGAAGAGGGTGGAGTAGGGCATGGGCAAGAGGGAAGATAAATGGGAAATATCATTTTATTCTCAAATTTCTATATATGAAAAACATGAAATTTGTTTATCTCATAAATTTAAAAATAATAATCATGGGAAACAATCAATGATTAACCTAGGCAATGAGAAACATGCTAAGCAAATATTCCTAAAATAATTGTTGGAGGGCATATCAAGAAAATGAAATCTGAAATTCATGAAATATAAAGTGAATAAGAATTTCTGGTTAAAGCATAAAGATAATGACTCTCATAAGGAAGAAAAAAATATCACTAATTTCTGAATGTTTTTATCTCCACATTTTCTGGATTTTAATAGCCAATGTGATAATGTAAGAGGGTGGTTAAGAAATGCTGGTATCAAATTTACAAATGGGATTAGTGCTACTGATACAGAAGCTAGAGGAGGCTTCCTGACCCTTCTGTTACATGAGGACACAAAGAACATCAAATTTGAAGCAGAGCGTAACCCCTTACCAGACTCCGTGTCTGCTGGCACATATGTCTTGAATGTGGTTCCATGTCCCAGAATAATACATCTCCATTAATTACAGATTATCTAATCTACGGTATTTTTAAAACAACATAAACAGAACACAATAAATATGAAGAGGAAATCTGTAAAATATATTATACATACAACTGTAAAACTTAGTGGAATATGAATACAGTGAACTATTGCTTTTCATCCATTGATTCACAGAACTTTAAGTTTTTCAAGGATTCATTTAAGAAAAGTGATAAGTTTCAAAGAAAATCATCAAATGATTGT